ATGAGGGAGGGGTGTGGCAGAAAGAGGTGCCGGGACCCACGCAGTGATTCAGCACAGGAGGCTCTTCCTTCCCTGCCTGGAGTGTCTGGACCCCTTCCTGCATCCCACCTAAGATACAGGGTGTTGGGGGGTGCATACGTAAAAAAAGACGGTTTTCTCAGAGGAAGCAGCAGCCAAGTCTTCTTACTCTGTCAGGGAGTAGTGCCTGCAATCCCGAGGAAGAGAGGAGGACTGTAAGCAAGTTCAGCAGCAGCTTTGCAGAGAGAGAACTAACTACACAAGGTAGGCACTGGGCAAGGGGCAGCCCGTACTGGGATCGCTATTCATTAAATGCTCATGGATGTGGGGGTGTGGGGCAGAGCACCCCTCACCCCACCACCGCTGACCCTACCTCGACCCCCACCCGCACCATGGGATGAACAGACAAAGGCCAAGGATACTGACCTTCCTCTCTAGGAAGGCAGTCAAGGAAAGACACCTTTATGGGGGGATTTTGCTGTGGCAGGCACTCTGCTGCCTGCTTCAGGGGTGTTTTCTCATTGACCCCCCTCATCTTCCATCTTAATTCCATCAGCTGCCCCCATCCCAACTCCCAGCCCTGCCTCCAGCCCCTTCCTGAGGCTCATTCTGAGCACTGCAGCCTGCTGGTCCCCTTGCCTGCTGTCAGCCCTGGGAAGTGTGCCTGTGGCAGGGAGCAGATGCCCCAGTCTGCTGGCACTCATCATGCGGGTTTTCGTTTTCTCTTCATGCGGATTATATACTCGAGGACAAGGATTAGGTCTCTTTTTTGCCAGTCGAAGCACACAACTTTATTGATGGTACACACAGATGTGGACTGGGGTGGAAGAGGTGAAGTCAGTACAACAGATAGAATGGGAGTGCCCTTTTTTTGATGAATAGGTTCCCCATCCCTCAGCTCGTGTAGAAGAGAGTAGATGAAAAATAAGTCAACCTAAGCTGTAACAAATGCATTTTCAGCCCAAGCTCTGACGTGGTCCTGCTCAGAGAGGGAGACTACCCCCACCACAGGTAACATAAGATTTGGTGTTCTTTATTCACAGCAGGCAGCCAGAGTGATCCCTTTACCACATGAAGGAGGCTTTCAGGGAGTAATTTACATTGCACTTTGCCTGCAGACTGCAAAACCAAGGAATTACTCAAAGCTCTGTGGGAGCCCCTGCCTGGCCAATAGAAAGGAGTGTGGTCCTCCATTTAGCACTGGCACTTTCACCCAGTGATGTGGTGATCGCTAAGGGTGGATCTTCCCTAGCACTCTCCGCAGATTCTTTGACATCTGCAGGCCAAGTGGGTTCGGAGCCGATTCAGTCCCATTGTGTTCCAGATGGCCATTTACAGGGCAAGGGTTTCCACGGGCATCTCTCTGTTTCCATTTCTGATAAAGAGGGTCACAGATGACAATAGCATCTGGGCACTGAGCAATTCCCCTGCCAAGACTGGCTTTTCAGACAAACCCATCAGTGGTTTTAAAAGCTGAACCTTAGCACATCCACTTTCCTCTGATATCAAAGGAAACTTCAAGTCTGAAACGGACTTGGCAAGCATGTTATTAATAACTGTCATGCTTATTAACAAATTTAATCCTGCCTGCTGCAGAAATGAGTTGCAGCAACGTAACACAGTCTCCCGACACACTTCAATGAGGTACATCTTAATCTGGCCCTGCTTTTCAATACTCGCATTCAAGTTATCTGGGGCACACAAAGCCTCTCCAACAGTGGGGTCAGGAGTGGGGATCATGTTTCCAACCATTGAGAGACTGGCCAAAGGACTATTGATATCATGGCTAAATGAAAAACACACATTCTTAGACTCAGCAAAGAACATTTTTCCCTGAATGAAAAGAGACTTGGAGAGGTCAAGAATGCAACTGCCATTTTTAAAGTTTTGAGCACTCCAAGTGTTTTTGTGTTCGTAGGGGAAGGGCCGCTGTTTTATTGGGTGTGCTCGGTTGGCCTTGCCCCCCCCTGAAGGCCTGTCCTCAGTGCCACCTGGGGCCCCAGGTTCTGTCCAGTCCCCATCCTCACTCCACGGTCTAGTTATAGTTGTTAAGTCAAACCAAATGTCAGGCTCCTCCTCATCCAGCTCGTCATTTTCCCATTCCTCTTCCTCCTCCTCCTCCAATTTGTCACTGTCATCTCTTCCTATAGTCAGTTTGTAAACACAGTAGCAGGCACCAGCCCCAATCATCAGTCCTGCTGCCACCCAACCCACTTCCCGAGCTCGGCCCATGGTCAAGTCCGTGCCAGCTTCCACAGGAGATTACAGGAGAGGGTCTTGCTCCCCCTGACTGAAGAGAATTCTTAGGGCCAGGATAAGTAATGGAGAAAGCAGTAGTCTTCAGCCTCTCTTGGTTCCTGCAGCTGTTTTGTTATGAATCTGTGGGTGAAAAAAGAGTATTAGGCCTTTGGGTGGTCCTGGGTTTGTGCCTCACCAGACAATGGAATTAAGTGCTTGGTGAGAAAAGTGAATTATTAGTAAACTGGGTCTTTGCTCTTTTCTGTTTCCCCCCCATCTACCCTCAGGATCCACCAGTTCTCTTCCCTGGACCACAGAGAAGGATGGGAGATGGGCCTGTGCTATGATGACCAGGAGGTCCAGTGGGAGAGTCTATCCCTCAGACAGTCTCCTCTTTCACCACACCTCAGGGGCAGTCGCCTATCAATCTCTCCAGTGAGGTAAATTCCTTCTTCCTTTATCTTCTGTTATCAGTGTTCCCTCCATAAGCGACAGATGGACAGAGTCTGGCAGAAGGACAAACGCAAAGAAGGTAGGCAGCAATAGAGAACTGAAAGTGGAGTGCATAGATCAGCGCTGAGGGCACAGGTCCCAATATCCGTGTTTCTGAATTTTAGGCCCTTGAGTTTAAAAGATTTTTCACTGTCCCGACTTTCCTAACGCGGGTTTCCCCAGCCCCCCTCCCCACCCCCCGTTGTCGTCCGCCATTTCCCCAGCAAAAGCCGCCACACCCCTTTCCCTGCACTGAAATGGGAGGGGGTGTGCAGAAAGAAGGGGCCAGGAGAGGGCGACTCGGACCCGGCCCGTACAGATCCCAGCCCCTCTTCTCCGCCACCCCCACCCACGGTCCCGGGAAAATCCCACCTTCACACCGACCTGCACGGTTCCAACCACGGCAGTTTGCTCCTTCTCTCCCTGAGACTTGCGCCGCGACCTACAGGCCAACAGACCTACCAACCTGCAAACAGTCAGGGGACCGAGGGGACGGAGTGCTTGGTGGACGGACCGAGATATAAATGCCCCGATTGAGGAATGCTTCTTTTCTCCTAGTCTCTGGAACCGTCGTACTTTCCTCTCACCCCCACCCGAAGCCCGCCACTTCTCTCTACTAATTTGAGCACAGGGTGCGCTGGGGGTCGGAGGCGGAATTTAGAAAGTAGGCAAGAAAGCGATACAGCCCCGATCAGCCCGAACTTGGACTGGCAGCACTCTCGGTCCTCTTCCACTCCCACCTCCTCGCAAAAGGCGCCCACCCTCACACCGACCTGCACAGTTCCAGCTAGTTCCATTCTTCCTTCACACGCCTGCCGAGTAATAGGGGGTTGGTACCCAGACCGAGACGACTAGCAGGACTTCTGCTCTAGGCGGCTCTTGGTCACGTGATGGCCACGTCACCAGTGAGCTCTGGCCCCCAATTTCCACTCCCACAAGCAGTGCGGCAGGCGCCAGCCTGCCCCGTACCTCCCCCAATCACACTGGGCCCTGCCACTCTTTTTCCTCCGTAACAATACCGGAATCCAGAAGGGGTCCTGTCTCTCCTGTTTGAATTTAACTTTCTCTCATTACAGGAAGGGGCAGCGTCTTTTGCTGGGTCTGTCTTTCACTTACGCTTCTTAGGGAATTTCCCCATCCTTTCCTTGGCTCTGAAACTCCTGCATGCCTTTCCTTAATTTCTACCACTTTACATATTCAGTCTCTGCACCAAAAATTGGGGAGGAGCAGAAAAGGATGCCCAGATAGTAGTGAGATTTTTATTAATGTTTTTGATATATTTATGCTCTATTTTTTCCCTTTTTGTTTTTGTGAGCTGCACTCTTTTATAATCAGATGGTACAATAAAGGTATCTCCACTTGGAGAAAAAAAAGAATTCAAATCTATTTTTAAAAGTGTACATAAGTAAAATTTCCCACTTAATAGGGAGGGCTCATTGACTTGAAGTTAATATGATTTACATGGAAAATATTTGTTTCTGACTGCACAGGAAATAGCTTTCAGGCAGTCTACTAAAATTTAAAAATATATCCTTACAAACAGAACCAGTGTGCTTCCAATATGATTTGTAAATTGATGGCTAAATGAACCTATATTGAGAAGGTCCAGGTTCTAATTGTGACCATAGATAAATGAATCACTATCCCTTTCTTACTCCTGACTGAACTCATAGTCAAAATGTCAGTCGACTGAGATCTTCATAGAAGACTGCTGGATGGCTTTCACTCTGGCTTCAAAGGACTTTGAATGAATCTTACAGCTTCAGATGGATTTAACAAATTAATAACTTTATGGATTATCCTGCCTGTCATTCAAAGGGCTTTATTTAAAATCCATTCTGAAGTTTTGTGGTGCAACCCGTAAATCACCCAGAAATTACAGAATTCCTTGTTGTCCCACTGATGAAAATGAGATTTGATGGAGGGACATTTCATTGCATCATGACACTGTTGAGATCTCTCTGGTGTCTGCCGTTCACATACTATACATTACCCTAACAGTGACTAGGGAGATGGTGGTGAGGGTCTCTGGATGACTACGAATCATTGCAATACCCTTGATGTCCATGTCATTTTCCCTCATAGTTGGAAGGACAATGTATAGGATCTCAAACAGTCACCAGGAGAGAGAAACTTTTCATTCTCTGCCTCCTGTGACAACTTCACTGTACCACTGTTTCAGGCTCTTCAGAATAATCCCCGAACTCAGGGACAAAGCATGCAGAAGTTAGTCCCCAGACATCCACCTGTCCCTGCTGGGGAGTCATACTCTAAATATAGACACTCAGGCAGCCTCTTTCTTAGAACATTGAAATATGACACCCTGGCAGGGAGGCTCCCCTGTGAGGGGCCCCTGTGCTGAAGAGGCCCTTTCTGGAGGTGAGCCTAGGAGCCCTAATGCCTTGCTGACAAATATTCAGAAATTGAGAATATGTCACAGCTCTCTGGTCTTCCACTTTTACAATCAAAACACTAATATCATACCCCATCTCTAAATCTCTATGTCATTTGTTTCACTGTCATTCTTTTATATCGTTCTTTTCATTACCCTTTATTTACTTTGCTTAGATAAGTGAATGCTATTTACGAAGACTTACTAATGGAGCTCTCACATTCAACTGGCCATTATTCATTTTCTGGGTGCTAGGTACTCCATACGAGTGGCTTTTGTTTATTTTGAATATATACATTAGAACAAACTAAGTATGTAAAGCTTAACAAAAGCAGATGACTTGATATCAAAGACATGGCTGTACAATATGGACTCATTTTTACACCGCTTAACTAGGCTTCTAGGACAAAAGTTTTACTCCTGCTTCTCCTTTCTAGCACAAAGTATCTTCCCCCTTTTGGTATGTCCTTCAATTGTTCTGACGTCTAATCCCTGACTACCATTCTCCCAGTCTGTCAGACCTTTCCGGGTTTGAATCTACTTCCTGTCTAAATCCCATAGCATGATAACTCTTTCAGTGCATTTACATCTTTGTCATTCTGATCCATAATTCCTTCCAACTCGTATCTGGGGACTAAAACCTACTTTCATCTCTATCACACATCATCAACAAATATTTATTTAAGGGCATGTTATATGTCTGACATACTATGTCAAAAGTGAAAAAGTAAAATGCTTAAGCACGTCCTCAGACAAACCTGTTAAAAGTTCTGAGCCTGCAAAAGATTTTGTGAAGCCACTGCCAAAAGGAACCTTTGGTTTAAATCAGAATGTGGTCGCCTGTGATATGTAGCAGGAATGACAAATGAATAATTTGCTCTGAGAAATACAACCGTCAGGGCTACTGGAGGTTTCTGTCAGTTTTACCTGCCCATTCTCTCCCTGTAGCTACTTGGGAAGCCATAACTTCAAAGGTTACTTGATGAGCCTGCAGTTAAGAGTAAGGACATTCGTTTACCTTAAGAAGTGGCTTTTAGCTTAGGAAGCTTGAAGTACTTTTACACATCATGGGGATGACTCTGCCAAGGAAAGCTAAATGTTCCATTCATCTTAGCCAACACTTCTCCTCCAGAAAGTGCTTGGGTGGGAAATACCAACACTTTCCTCTGACTCTCCTTTTCATATATTTCTATGCTTGAATAAGCCCCTTTGCTACACATGATCTTTCTCTAAACACAGAATCATATATAGTTGATTTGGTTTCTGTTTACTGAATTTCAGTCATGTCCTAGTACTGCCTCCCAGAAGTCAGATTGATATGAATTTTCCCGGAGGTTTGCTTGTTCCCAAACTCCCCAGTTTTTTGATTTACTCCTGTATTGTCTATGGACTTTAAAAGTTATATGGTCAGATAACAACCTTACATCCAAACTATTAATGTTAAGGAATATCCCACTGAAGGACCCCATATTCTGAAAAGCTTTATTACTTTTTGTATTGTATTATTTGTTTTTGTACTGTGTATTTGTTAAGATTGTTTGGTTGCCAGCAACAGAAATGAAACCTGGTAACTTAAACAATGAAAGAATGTGATACTTTTATTCCTTTTACTACTTTCAAAGAGTTAAGTCATTGATGTAGGGTGAATTTTGGAGCTTATCAAACCAGCCAGTGAATTGGTTGTGCGTTAATTACTAGATGCCAAGTTCAGCTAATTTTATCTTGGTCTCGGTATTCCTCTAATACCTATTTCATTTACAGATGGTAGCTTCTATTTGTACCCAAGTATATTTTGTAATGTTCTTTGTATATCACTCACATTGTCAGTGTTCATGCCTCTTTGTCTTACAGATACCAATTACCCAGTTGTGATTACTACTAAGTTTTTTTTTTTTTTTTTTTTTTTGCTATTACTGGCTTCTGCAGCCTCAAAGCCTCCTTGCTAACTGATGCAGGTGAAGTTTTGTAGCTCTCCTATTCAGAAGACTGGCCTAGTCAGAAGATTACATATTCTCAGACATACAGCTCATTCAGGATTGTGTAATGTGTTAGGCCTCAGAAGACATTAAGTTGCCTTGGGTGAAGTGTGTAACACTCTCCATCAAGTGAGAAAATGTGGGACTTTTGGAGGGCATTACCCAACATCACTCTTCACCCTCCACTATTTTTGTTCATTAAAATGAAAATAGTTTTATAGTATTCTTTTTCCCATAAAAAGAATACAGGCAGGGGGCAGGAACAAAAACAACGAAAAAGTAAGAAAGAGAAGCTACATATTCTCGTTCCAGGTTTCCTTTTCTGGTTGCTCGTTCATTTCACATCTGGGACTAGATTTCAGAGGAAATGGTTAGACTTTAATAGCTGGGAGGAGGGGAGGTGGAGGGAGAGGCTGCTGTCCCAGGGGCCTAGGGAAGGAAGAGGCAATTTTTCAAAAAAGTACAAGTGGCCAGTAGCCCCAGGGGAAGATGCTGTCACTTTCTGGTAATCAGGAAGGGAAACACAACTACTGGGAGATGAGATTAGCGAAGAAGAAAGAGTAACAAGGCCTAGTACCCGTGAGGGAATGGAGGGGGGCGGGCCCTCTTCTGCCGCACTGCTGGTGGGAGGGGAAATTGGGGACCCGAGTTGGTGGATGACGTAGATCTCACGTGACCAAGAGCTGACGTGTGCAGAAGTCCTTCTTGTCCTGGTCGTTGTTCCCGTCTGAGTACTAGCTCCCCATTGCCCTGAGGGCGGGCGGGCCTGCGGCTGAGGAAAGAAGGGGAGGAGAAGGAAATTGTCCCGGATCCCTGCAGGTTAGTGCCTGGGAGATTCCATACAGTGGGGGTGGCCGAGGGTGTAGGGCGGGGACCGTCGCGGGTCCAGAGGCGCCTTCGTCGTCTCTCCTACTCGCTGCCCACTTTCCAAGACATATGTCCCGCTTGTAGCCCATTTCTATGCTGCGAAACGGTGAGCAGAGGGGTGTTTGAGGAGGAGCCCAGAGATCGGAAAATGGGAATGTGCTGGGAGCTGAGGCCCGCAGTCCGGAAAAGGAGCTGTGGCCTGGGTGTTGGCCTCTAGTTCACCAAAACAGTGCCGGCAGGGAAAGGCTGGACGTGGGGGTCAGGGGTGGCAAGGTGCAATGTAATTTGTCAGCAGAACCCCAAGAGGGGCAGTGGGAATGGGAAACGTTTGACAACCAGGCCTCCAAATTAGGAAAGAGTTTCGTGTTCTGGGGACTAGTCCGTCCACTAAGCGCTCAGTAGCGGCTGTTTCCCGTCCTTTTGCCTGTGGCTGTGTCTTCCTGACGATGGCTCTGTCTCTAGTGGGTCCGAGCCTCTCCCGGGTGGGCAGTCTTTCCGTAGGTTGCGGCACGCCGCCAGGCAAGAGAAGAGGAAGGAAATTAACCCTGGTCGGTGAAGGTCGATTTGAGGGTAAGACCACATGGGGACCCTAGGAGGTGCGGAGGTGGGGGTGGGAAAAAAACAAGCA